TACAACAACCCCCGAGCCGACTGTGGGCCTGTGGCATAAGGGGTGGTTGATGCTACCACCCCCTTACTAAATCACAAACAAGATAGAAAACCACTGCCCTACAGAAAGAGTTCCCCCAAGACAAGTGCGGAATATACTTGTCTGTTGGACTGGAACAGTAGAAAAGGCAACTCTTTGTGGCAAGAGACCAAACCCAGGCCTTCATGCTGCTGACTGCTCCTCTGCTCCTTCTTCAATGGGCTTTGGGCCCTAGGCTTGGAGGAAGGACAGTCCATGGTAGTTTATTAGGATTGATCCCAGCCTGAAATCATGGCTTCCCCAGTCCCTGAGAGACAGGAAGAGAGACCGAGCGCAGGCATAAATGAGCCTTATCATTTCTTTTATTGTTGTCAAGGAGCAAGGAGGGGAGGGAGGAAAGGTGCCATGTGGGGCGAAGCAGACTGTCCTTGGTGTCAGCAAGAAAGAGAGGGTGAGAGTCTAGCATGGTCAGACAAACGGTGGACAAAGGGTCAGACTCGGAGGAGCGCAGGACATCTGGGGATGGAGGGGGCCGGGGTTGCCCTGTGGGTCATGCCAGTTGGGGGAAGGTGGGTCCCATTCCCCTCCCATGCCGGTGTCTATATTGCTCTGAACTTCAGTCACAGTTTGGAGAGGGGCAGGGAAAAGTAGTAGGGCCACAACATGGAAGATCTTCCCTCCTACCCCGGGCTATGGGATTCCATTTCGAGTCGGGTGCTCTTCTTCCGCTTGACAAAATGGGAATCAGCCGATGGCAACGTCTGTTTCTGTGTGTGCAAGTGTGTCAGAGAAAGACAGAACCTGAACCTTGATTGTTCTTCCAAACCCTACCGTCCACACTTCTACACACCTACAGCATAGGTAGTCCTCCAACAGGCACCGACTTGGGTGCGTGCCAAGGGATTTACAAGCATCTGGAATTTTAGGTGCTGTGGGGAAGGGTTAGCTTGGAGGAGGAAGCTGCTTAATCCCCAGGAAAAGAACAACCTGGTCTCTTGGCTAATGTCCCATTCAATCGGGGAGAGGTGGGGACCCAACTCTGTAGAAACAGGCATAGGGAAGGCAAGGGGGGAGATGTCACATTACCATGACAACGGCATAGATAACCCAAAGGAATGGTCTACAGGCAGAAGGAGATGCCGGCCACTCCTCCCAGCTCTGATGCACTCTCTTAGCCAACATGCCATTCCCAGGCTAGGTGATGGGGTCACGTTTTTCTTCGCTCAGACGACAGAAAGTTCTGCAGACTGGAAAAACGTGACTGAACAGGCTTGGGTTTGTCTGCTGGTCAATGCAGGAGGAACCAGGGGGGCATGGAAAATGGGGCACAGTACTTGCTCTGCCAGTCTCTTATTGAGGTGCCGTGTGAGGAGCCCAAGGGGAGCCCCGTTGCATGGAAGCGCAGTAAGGATAGGGGCCAGCACGGGGGGGGAGGGGGTGCCGACAGGGAGGGACCTCAGGGGATATGTACATGGAGGTGCTGGCCAGCATTATTGCAGCAGGGACTCTCTCAGGAGGCCCTGTCTTCTGTCCCGCACACACACATACACCCCCCCCCACTTCTCAGTGCAAGTGGACAATGGCTTGTATGAGTAAGGGGGGCAACGGCCCCCTTAGCTCTGGGATGAAAGGAGATTGCTTGCTGATCAGTCCCTGAGGTACCAGAACTGCCTCCCTCGCCAATGCGCCACAGAGTCCTGGGGAGGCACTTCCGCTCCCCAACCTTTCGTACCTCAGAAGATGAGACTGACGCGCGCGTGCACGCACAGGCACACCCTGAGAAGCACACCTCAGCCCAGCCCCCTGCAGGAGCCCAGCACTTGTGCAGATTCGGCTGGGATCCCGAGAGGGTGGGCGGCAGGCGCATGGATATGCAGGGGTGCAGAAGGGTGGGCGTCTTCCCTTTCTCTTCTCGGAAAAAGAACTCCATTTCCCGTGACAAGGAGAAAGGATGGGGAGGAAGAGTAAAAGGCTCCCTTCAGTGGGCCTGGACGCCTCGTGAGATTGCCGGGACCGGTTGCTAGTTGTCGGGGGAGGGCGGTGTGGTTCTGGTGGAGCCAGGAGTCCCGGGATTGTGGCAGGCGGGTGAGTGGGTGGGCAG